TGTTCTTCTCACTAAACTTGCTCTCTCTACGGTAAGCAGAAACTTGGGATCAAAGCATTACCTCTAAGAATCCATAGTCAAGTGAAGTACGCGGCTCTAGCTCGAGGAGACGCAGAGATTTACTTGCGTTTCACTCTCCCGGGGTACCGTGAGTCCATATGGAACCATGCTGCTGGTGCAATCATCACCACAGGTATGCACTGCATTAGATTTTTTGCTCTAAAGCACATTTCACTGCAAAGTTTATAACAAATTACAGTAGATGTGTGCAATTTGAGGTCCAGCTATTCTCTGCTGCTTTGAAATATATTAGGATACAGATTCAATTCCCATCGGATGCAAACATTTTTCATGGTAATATTACGGAAAACAAACAAAAACTCGATAGGACTATGAACAAAAGGTGTGAGCAATAACCTTGTGCAGAAGCTGGAGGCGTAGTTTGCGATGCTGATGGGAATCCCCCGGACTTCTCGAGAGGGGAGCATCTTTATCTCAAAAGAGGGATCGTGGTTAGCACCAAGAAGCTCATGCCACGGCTCTTGGAGGCCATCAAAGAATCCATGAAAGAGGAGATGCACATCTCTGAGACACAACTGACACTGTAATATATGTACTGTCTGAAATGGTAACTGGTGTATATCACACATTACTATCAGATTCTGAAGAAGTCTGTGCTCTACCAAAGAAGTTGTATGCTTTTGAATAATGATCTAGATTTCGATTCACAATGTAGATAATCGTTTACATTTTATTAAATGAAGCAATTGCTAAGACTCTACCTAAAGAGGAACATCTGATGGGTAATCTTGTGGGTGACTTTTGATCGTCTGCCTCACCAGAAGTTCCTGTTCCCTGAGGTTAGAAGGAGGAACATCATAGACATCTGAGAACATATTCTCCAGATTCGGTTTCTCAGTCTTCTCTGAGACCCGGAGTGCTTCTAACATCTGTTTACAAGGAACAAGAAGGAGTGGATGAATCAGCATATATAAACCCAAAATGTTACTTATACAATGCTCATGATCCAGATTTTTTTGGTTACCTCCTTCTTGATTCTGCTTCTCAGATCTGATTCCGCCTCGTCACTCCACCAACCCTTACTTTCAATCCAATTTCTAAACCTAGACAATGGGTTTCTTGCTTTGTTCCACCACTCTATCTCTTCTGCAGAGCGGTACCTAGTGGAATCATCTGATGTTGAATGGTGTCCTACACGGTACGTTAAGGCCTAACACGCACAAAAAAGAAAATTGAAGTTTTTTGTGTTTTGATGTTTCATCTAATATCTACAACATAATCACATCAAAGTTACCTCTATCAAGATTGGCCTCTGTTCTCTGATTGCCATTTCGCGAGCAGAATGCACCGCACTGTACATAGCAAGCGCGTCATTTCCATCCACACGTATACTTCGAATTCCATACGCACGGCCTTTGACTACTACACCATCACCTGTTGGCCATTGTGTTTGCAAAAGTATTAGCAAATCCAAAAGACTTT